TTGCTGCAAAAATCAACCTGTATGTATGTGTGTAGTTGGAATGATAGATATGAAATGGGTTTTACACCACAGGTATCTGCATCTGTAGGTATTCTCAAGTGCAATATTCAACTGGATGTGCCTACAGAGAAAAGAGTCTCCATTGAAATCCCCAAGTTTCAGAGCATCTGAAGCCCAAGGAAAGGCCATCTCTGGAGTTTTGAAAGAATTCTTTTTTGAATCATCCTGCAGAGTTAAATAGGCTTCATAATGCCAATTTCCCACTTCAGGGGATGGTGTGCAAAATGTAGCCTGTCACTATCGGAGAATTCTGACTGGCAGTCCCTTAATATTGGGCTACAGACCATGAGAGGAACAAGCTCCCTGAAGCCAGAAAGAACCTCCCTGCAGGGAAGGAAATGAGCTGCAGGGGGTGCTCAAGACACACGCAGACAGCATCCAGTCTTGAAGCATGTGCACCTGAGGCTGGGGAGGAGTTTCCTCTCAGGGCTTGGCTCTTTCTTTTTCAATGTAGCAATCTTAAGTAGGGAGTCAACAAGCTTCTGGTGTGATTTTACATATTTTGTTCTGCTGGGAAAAGTTATATTACTTAAGAAAGCAGTAAGAACTCCATTGAAAGACAAGTTTCTAGGAGTGTAGATATGGTCATAATGAGGACGTGAAGAATAAGGGTGATTTTAGCAACTTAATGAGTGCAGAATTGTGGGAGAGAAACTGACCCCCACTAAGACATTCACACTCCAGAGCTATGTAACCCTTCCTGGGTTGGGTGTGTGACAGGGCACTGTGGTAATCACAGAATGTGGCAAGTGTGTAGACTAAGTGGAAAAGAAGTAAACATGTAAAAATGAAAATCTACAGATTTGAACTGGAAGTTTATAAGTACCGTGGGAAAATCCATTACTTTCATTTGACAATAAAACACAAACGTATTCAAGACATAAATTTTTGACAAGATATTTAGAGCCATCAGTTTACCAAAAACCACATACAATTACTTTTGTTAATTGGATCAGAAACTGCACCCAATCCTACCTCATCGTGCTAGTCTTAAATCAAGATTCTTTCTAAAGAAGAATCTGGTAGAGCCAAACACACAGAGATGAGCTGAAGAAACTCTCAGGAGTGCTCAGGGGATCTCAGAGGTGTCTACAGTACTTCCAGTACATATACAAGGGCCAATCAGTGGTCACTCTCTCTGAGTGCCATGCTGGTGCTTGATGGGACCAAGATTGGGTGACAATACCTGTTCAAGTCTCAGATGATCCAGGTGGCCCCCATGCTAATCAAGTAGGTTTCAGTAAAAACCATGTCCCTAGGGAAGTTGTTTTTCAATGGAGTTATGTCCACACAGAGTTCTGCGATATGACAAGGGCCATATATCTTCAAGCAGGATTAGGAATTAGATGTCAACATAAGACTGTTACATGCTTCATGTGAAATCTAGCTTCTCTTTCTCAAACTAGGTCAGGATTGGGCTATAAATTGTCTGCCTGATGTATGTGCAAGTGACCCAAGATCTTCTGAATTAAATATGGATACATCTGTGACCTGAGAACATCATGCAACAACACATGCTTCTTCTACAGAAATCACTGAAAGCACAGCTCCTCACATGTACTGGACCTGAAGGATCTTCTTCTTGGTGGCAATAGCTACAGGTAAGAGGATTCCCAGTCCTAGGGTTGAGGAGGAAACCAAGACCAATCAAGGAGGATTTTATCCACTTCTGTCTATCCTCCACGGGTGCCCACTTCCAAGTCTAGTTGGTGCAGTATGGTGATAAGGAGAGAAAGTCTGGGGCCTCAGAGGAGGTCTCCTGCAAAATTTCTGGATACACATTCACCAGTTACTATATGCACTTGGGGCAATAGGTTTCTGGACAAGGACTTGAGTGGATGGGATGTGTTGACATTGAAGATGGTGCCACAAGCTATACACAAATTTCCAAGGCGGAGTCTCCACAACTGGTGAACAATCTATTAACACAGTTTACATGGAGTTGAAAAGTCTGAAAACTGAGGACAGGAACATGTATTATTGTGTTAGATGCACAGGGTGAAATTCCACATCCTGTGAGTTTCAGAAACCATGAAGGAGAAAGCAAGCTATGTTCTGTGCATGAGGCATTGACACGGATTATGAGGATAAAGGCTTCCTTAGAACATATAGTTAGTCTATTGGAGCAAAGGAACAATAGCAATGTGAAAATACTGCAATTATATGGGAAATTTGATATACAACATTTACTCTGAAATATTGTTTTATATTTTCATTCAGAGAGTGGGAAAGAAATTGAATGAATGAAGTAGGGATGAGAATACTCTTGAAGATAGCAGTGTGAACCTGAGTTTTTTAATCAGTTTTGTAAATTTAAAAATATATATATATATTTTATAAAACTACTTGATTCCATTTTAGCTCTACCAAAAGTTGTCAAAATAACTTCCATTTTATGAATATTTCCTTCTCATCAGCAATGCATGATAGTACTTTTTCCTCCACATCGTCACTCTTATTTGACATCATCAGTGTTGTCTATTTTACCCATTCTGATTGGTTATCAGTTGTATTTCATTGTTAAAAAAACACATTTTCCTCATGAAAATTATATTAAACAAATTTCAAATAGTTTTTGATGAAATTTCTAACCTACATGGAAGATATTTGATTTAAATTATCTTTCAGATAAATAATATATGTCTCACATTAAATAAAAATTAGTTAATGTAAAAAATGATTCAGGAAAGAAGTGTGAAAACTTTGATCCTTATTAAAATAAAGAACAAACATTGTTAAGACTAAAGAGACTTAAAGAAGATGATAAGACAATGTATAAATGGAGATTATGATTTTCTTGTTTTTGTCAATACTCTTGACTGGGTCTCCCTATAGACTTCCTTAATAACGTCTGAGAGTAATAGAATTATTTTAGGCTTTTCCCGTGTTTATTACATAAGAGCTTTACAGATGGGATGATAAGGCATGTGGTAAGGGACACTGTTTATAGTCAGCGTTTATAGGCCAGAGGGATTCACATGGGCTTACAAAATGTCCTTAGATTGACTTATATTGCAAGGGTCTGAAATTGTGATGTGGATTGCTGGGGATATATCACACTTCACTCACATCATCATTTTAAGTGGAATCCCACAACTCCAAAAAGGATGTGGATCAGCAGACTGCTGAACAAAAGGTTCAGAGACTACCTGGTTAGGAACAAACTCACCTGGTTCTGAATATTTGGTCTGCTTCTTCTTCTCTTTCAAACGGAGTCATCTCAACTTGTTCAGGTACTAACAAAGGGATTCAGTTTTGCTCTGTTCATCTAACTTACCAAATATTTGGTGACTCACCTATTATCTATATTCATGGAAGTATATTGTTTATTATTAAATTGACTTACAAAATGTAATGCCCAGGTTGAAATACCCTACATTGAAGAGTTTGCTCATGCCATCAATGGAGGACAAGCCTTGCATGGAAAGACAAATCTAAATTAGTCAACAGAAGTCTAAGAATACAGGGCTTGGATTCATTGTCCTGCTTCGTATCATTGGTGTGTGGTGCCAGTCAGAACAGGACCTGAGTTCCTTGTGCACACAAAGAGGAAGGCTCACATAAGTTATATACATTTCCCAAGGTGGGTACTGTCACTAACTTCAGAGAAGAGAATATCCACCATTGCTGATCTCCTATTAGAGAGTTTATGCATAAATCTGTCATACTGCTCTCAAAGTAAATAGACAACCTTCCAAACAAAAAAAAATATTGCAAATTATTGCTCTAAAAAAAAGCAACTAATAACAGAATCTATAAAAAAATTCAACAGAAAAAAGTACATTAAAAATTAGACAAAATAAATGAATGATACTTCTCAAATGAAGACATACAAGTATGCCAAACGCATGTGAAAATATCACTAATCATTAATCAATATCACTAATCATCACTATTACTAACCATCAGTTAAATGGAGATTAAATTCACAATGAGGTACTATATCACACAAATTAGAATGGCTATCTTTTAAAAAATTTTTTAAAACACAGATGTTTGCAAAGCTGTGAAGAAAATGGAGCTCTTAAACACTGGCAGCGAAAATATACAAGAGATGAAGTCTTGCATGAAGTTGTTTGCAGATTTCTCAAATAACTAAAAATAGAGCCAACTTTCAAGTCAGTCATCTCATTACTGAGTATTTATCAAAGGAAAAGGGAATGATTCAATCAAAATGATACTTGCATTTGTATGGGTTTCACAGCACAATAAGCAATAGCATAGTGATGGAATTAACCCAAGTTCCTATCAACAGTGGATTAAATAATGAAAAGGTGGTGCATATATGCCAATGAATTCTATGTAGTTGTTAAAAATATGTAATCTTAAATTTAGTGACAACATAGATACATCTGAAGGCCAATATCCTAAGTGAATTACCTCAGAAAAAGAGAATTGAATGACATATATTTTCACCCATAAATTGCAACAAAACAATGACTACACAGCCATAAAGATGAAAATAATACACATTGGGAACTTCAAAATGGGAAAGAGAAATAGGGAGCAAAGGGATGAAAATGTGCCTATTGGTTTCCATGTTAACTATTTCAGTGATGTCTTCACTAGTAGTCCAAACCCAGAATTATGCCATTTTTTCATGTAACTAACCTGCAAATGTACCCATTGAATTTGAAAATTTAAAAATACACAAAAAAAGTAGAAACAAAATAGTAATATTAGTGATTTTGATTATCATCACAAAGCATATATTTATAGTAATAAGCAACCATGTTTCCCAAATGCTATCAATATTGCCAAACTACTCCAGGACACTCCCACCTACTATGGGTCCTGTCCTTTCCTGAGTCCTCCCAGTTCAGAGCTAGCTATATAGCAGGAAACATGCAAATAGAGTCCTTCCTCTGCTAATGAAAATCAGCCCAGCCCTGACCCTGAAACTTTGGGAGAGGAACCCCAGCCCTGATATTCTCAGGTGCTTACATTCAGAGGTCAGGATGGAACACAGACAGCTCACCATGGAGTTTGGCCTCATCTGGGTTTTCCTTGTTGCTGTCTTAAAAGGTGGCTCACAGAGACTAAAGATATTAATTATGTGAGAGGATGTGAGTAAGAGAAACAGAGAATATGTGTGTCATGTCTGACAAGGTTATCTTTGTGTTTGCAGGTGTCCAGTGTGAGGTGCAGCTGGTGGAGTCTGGGGGAGGCTTGGTCCAGCCGGGTGGGTCAATGAGACTTTCCTGTTCAGCCTCTGGATTCACTTTCAGTCAATACGGAATGCACTGGATCCGCCAGGTCCCAGAAAATGGATTGGAGTGGGTGGCAGTTATATGGTATGATGGAAGTCAGAAATATTATGCAGACTCCGTGAAGGGGAGATTCACCATCTCCAGAGACAACAACAAGAATATGCTGTATCTGCAAATGGACAGTCTAAGAACTGAGGACACGGCCCGGTATTACTGTGCAAGTTACACAGTGAGGAAAAATTTGTGTCAGCCCAGACAAAAACCTCCCTGCAGGTATGCAGGACAGAAGTCTGCTGCAGGGGGTGATCAGGACCCACTGATTAGAGTTAACTCAAGAGTACTGAGCAGATGGAGGTTAAGAGTTGGTTTATTTTCAGGGTGTGGAACTTCCTCCCTATCTGTCAGTTACCCAAGAAACCTAATTTTAGAAGTCTGCCTGTTGATGACATCTCTAAATATATAAATAACATGATACTATTAGGACATATTCTCACAGGCAGGAAACATGCACAGTGTCATGTACATTGATGCAAAGTCCTCAAGCATGATCAACTGGTTCAAAGCCCTGAGAAAGACAAGGGGTACCTGGGGGGAGTTTCTATTCAGTCCTATGTCACGGAACTCAGTGGAGTTGCCTGATTATAACAGTCACTAGAGACTCTGATGAAAGTCAAGAGAGAGTATAGGCAGGGTTAGGGTCATCTTAAACCTTACAGTTTCCCATCTTACCATTCTTCTGACACAAAGTATGCAAAACAAACTTGCCACAGATCTGGGGTCCCTTTTAGCTTATAACCCATTTTCTTACTTTTTACTTGTTCTTGCTTTTCAATTTGCTTCTCCTGATCCTTGAAGAGCAAAGATGTGATCCCTCTGGTCTAAATCTCTGGGCTGAAGTCCTTTACTAGAGCTCAGGTGTGGCCCACTCAATTGCTCCTGCAGCCAAATGACTGAGGTTGATGGGATCTTCTTTACTCACTATTTCCCTAACACTCCTTGTACTTTTGTGCAGAATCACCTGGGAATTGAAAATGGCCATTACTACTGAATGAATATATTACTGTGAATAGGCCAAGTAAGTTAGCTCAAATTCAAAAGGAAAATAAAAGTTCAATGGAGCAGCAACAGGCACTTTAGATTTCAGAGAATATAAGGTGGAAAAAGAGTTTTCATGGCAGAGTTCAACAGAGATAAATGAGTGAAGTACCAGAACTCAGGGCAGAAAGTTTCCCCTTGAAACTTGCCATTTAACTAGAGACCTGCTCAACCCAGGCCCCCTGTTTTGTAGAGTCCCCTGTTTCTCCCAAGCTCTGGAACTGACCAAGGGAGATACCAACAGTGGGTACAAGGCAAAGACTCCAGGTACAGCAAGAGGTATTCTCTCAGAGCTAGGTCCCCAAGGAAGACACCATAACCAATTCATAAATTTAAAAAAATAATAAAAATAACATAAATAAAAATAACTCTCTAGATATGTCAGATGAAGAAGTCAAATATTGGTTTTAAGGAAGCTCAATGTGATAAGAGACAAAGCTGAAAAGTTATACAAAGTAATCAGACAAGTCTAGATGTTAAAAGACTGACACAATTTAAAAAACAGACCTGAACAACTTATTGTAGGAAATATAAAGCATGGTAAAAAGCTTTAATTATAGACTAGGCCAAGTAGATGAATTAATCTCAGAGCAAGGAGACAAGTCTTTTGAATTAATGCAATGAGAGTAAATTAAGAAAAATATCTTATTTTCAATTTTAATTAATTAAATACTTATTTATTTTCATCTTATTTTATGAATTTTTTTTGAGTTGGAGTCTCACTAGGTCACCCAGACTGGAATGCAGTGGCCGCTCCCGGTCACCGCACCCTCGCCTGCTGGTCTCCGGCGATCCTTCTGCCTCAGCCTTCTGAGTAGCTGGAATTACAGGCATGTGCTACCATATCCGGCTGATTTTTGATTTATTGTAGAGATGAGGTCTCACTGCCCAGGTGGGTCTTGAACCCGTGGGCTCAGGCAATTCACTCACCTCAGCCTCCCAAAGTCATGGGACTACAGGCTGAACCACCAAGCTCAGCTTAATTATTTATTTAATAGTTTTTATTTTCAAGATGTGAGGTACATTCAGGATTAGGTATACAAGTGGTCATCGTCCAAGTAAAGTGTGGGCCTCCCTTTATCCCACACTTTGTCTGGTTTGAGATGAGGTACCCTTATTAATATTGTGTCCCACCATCATTCACCCATATATCACACTACATCTAATACCTTTCTAATAGTATTAGGGTAAGTGTTGAGGGTCCTCTTATGAATGAGACCATGTGGTACCCTGTTCCTTTTTTCTGTGATAGATCACTGAGTATGATAGACTCTAATACCATGCAAGTTGCTGCAATTTCCATATGTTTGACTTCTTTCTGGCTATGTAATATTCCATTGCGTATATGTACCACATATATTTTTCATCCAGTCCAGTTTCAATGGGTAGCAGCGCTGGTCCCATGTTTTCACTGTTAAGAATAGTGCTACGATAAGTGCATGGGAAGGTAATTTGTGTAGAATAATTTGAGTACCTCCACGTGTATTCCCAGTAAGGGGATTGCTGCATCATATGGAATGTCAACTTCTAGTTCTTTTAAAAATCGCTACACTGTGTTAGAAAAAGCTGCTCTAGTTTGCATTCTCACCAGCATGCAGATGCATTCCTTTTTCTATGCATCCTCACCAGCATCTGTTGCTGTTGTTTTTTTTTTTAAATGATGGCTATTCTGACTGGGGTTAGGTAGTACCTCAATGACGTTTTGATTTTCATTTGTCGGATGATTAGTGAGGCTGTGAACTTTTTCATGTGTCTGTTGCTTTCCTGTATAATTATTTTGAGAAATGTCTATTCATGTTTTTTTCCCATACTTTAATGGGGCTGTTTTGGTTGTTTGTTTTTCCTTTGGACATGTTTGAATTTCTTGCAGATCCTGTGTGTTAGGTTTTTGTCAGGTAGACAGTTGGCAAATACTTTTCTTATTCTGTGGGCTGTCTCCCTGCTCTCATCGTGGTTTCTTTTGACTTTCAGAAATTTTTCAGTTTGATAAAGTCTAACTTGTGTATCTCATCTCTTATGGCATGAGCACTGGGGGATTTGACCAGGAATTGTCTGCTTGTTCCAATTTCAATGAGTGTCTCTTGCTTTTTCTGAGATTATTATAATTTGAGGTTTTAGATCTTGTTTCTAATGAACAATGACTTTGAGAAATATGAAAAAATGTAAAGCAGTTAAATCTACAAATCAAGCACAGTCTACCAGGAAAAGATGTTAAAATAGAAGACATGAATGTTTTATTCCAGGAAATAATTCAGGGACATTTTTCTTCTTTTAAGACAGATCTACACATTCAGCTGGAATAAGCTCACAGAACTTATTCAAGATGCATTGCAGAAGAGCTTCACAAAGGCATATCGTGGTCAGACTATCCAGAGTCAATGTGAAAAAAAATCAGAAAAAAGAATCACAAATCACCTATGAAGGAAATCACATTAGACTAACAGCAGACTTCTTGGGTGATACCCTACAAACCAGAAAAGATTAGTGTGTCTTTATAAATGAAAGACAAATACACTTCTTCTCAGACAGACAAATCCTAATAAAATGTGTTAGCAATAAACTGGCTATACAAGAGATGCTCTTAGGTGTCCTAATTAAGAAAAGGAAATGATGATACTTGCTGTCATCCAAGGTCACATAAGTACGAAATGCACAGTTTCTATAAAGCACCAAAATCCCAAGAGAGTTAGCTAACAACACTATGGAAGAAACAGAAACCACACCTATCAATATTAACCCTGAATGTATATGGATTAAATGCTCCCCTCACAAGATAATGATTGAAAAACTGGATTTAAGTAAAGATATGCAGTATTATGCTGCCATAAGAGACCCATCTACTAGCTAAAGACAGCTCAGACTCAGTGTTATTGGATGGAAAAATAGATATTATGCAAATGGAAAACCAAAAAGAGCAAGAGTGGCCTGCCTCATATTAGATAATACAAACTTTAAATCAACAATGATTTTAAAAAGTGCATTATAAAATGATGAAAGGTGCACTTAAACAGAGATTTAACTATCTTAAATATATCATTACCCAACTCTGGAACACCCAGATTCATGAAATCAACACTTCTTGACCATCAAAAGCATTGATAGCAATACAATATACAGGGAAACATAGCAAAATCAGTGAATGAAAACAAAAATAAAACTACAGGTCAATATCCCTGATAACCATAGATGTAGACATACTCAGCAAAATACTGGTGAACAAAATTCAGCAATACAATAAATAAAAATGTTTTAAGATCATGGGAGTTTTATTCCAGGATTGTAAGAATAGTTCACAAATTAGTAAATGTGATTCATCACATAATCAGAATTAAAAACAGAAAACATGCAGTCATCACTAAGATATACATAATGCATTTCATAAAATCCAACACTTACAGATAGAGCCATTACAGAACTAGGCATTAAGGAACATACCTCAAAATAAGAAAATCCACATATGATAAACCCACAGCCAATTTCATATTTAATGGGGGAAATTGAAATTATAACCTCTCAGAATTGTAACAACAGAAGCATATCCATTCTCACCACTCTTATGCAACACAGCATTGAAAATCCTAGCAAGAACTATCAGGAAATGGATAGGAAAAAACACATTCAAATAGGCAAGGAGGAATTCAAAGCATTTCTGTTCACTGATTACATGAATACATTGAGAGGAAAACCTGAAGAATATTTCATGCGACCTGATAAACCAATTTAGTAAAGTTTCTAGATACAAACTCAATTTGCAAAAATCAGCATAATTTCTTTTTTCTTTTTTTTTTGAGTTGGAGTCTCTGTCCCCCAGACTGATTTTCAAAAGCACACCGAAATTAACAATGGATAATGAATACCCTACTCACTACACGGTACTGGGAAAATTGCCTAGTCATATGCAGGTGAAGGAACCTGTAGTGTTACCTTACACCGTATAAAAGTTAATTCAAGTTGGACGAAATGCATTCATGCAGGACTTGAAACTAAACAATTCTCAGAGTCAAACCTAGTAAATTCTGTATTATGGCATTGGTTTTGGGAAAAATCTCCAACAGAAAATGCAAAAAAGATAAAAATTCACATATAGGACATAATTAAGCTAAAAGAGGAAGCACAGCAATAGAAATAATCACTTTGGTGAACAGAAACCCAAGAAATGAGAATAAATATTGCAAATTATTCCCTAACAAAGGATTAACATACAGAATCTACAAGAAAATCAAAAAACTTAATATGGAAACAACAAGCAACCTCATCAAATGTGTACAGAGGACATGGGTAGACATTTTTCAAAAGAAGACACACAAGCAGCAAACTTGTAAATATTGCTCAACATTACAAATCAACAAACAAAAGGAAATTAAAACTACTATCAGATACCATCTCATACTAGTCAGCATGTCCATTATTAAAAGTTCAACAAAGAGCAGATGTTGGCAAAAATACAAAGAAAAGGGAACACTCGTACACTCTTGGCAGAAGTGTAAACTATTTCAACCTTTGTGGAAAATAGTATAGCAATTCTTCAGTGAATTAAAAATTGTAGTATCATTTGACCAGTAATCCTAGTACTAGGAATCTATCCAAAGAAATAAAGTGATTGTAAAAAATAATATGGACAACTTGTGCTTTTGCAGTGTTATTTACAATATAAAAATGATGAAACCAACCAATGTGCCCATCAATAACAGCATAAAGAAAATGTGATATATACATATACATATATATACACACATATATGTGTGTGTGTATATGTGTATATATATATATATATATATATATATATAGGAATAATATGTAGCCATAAATAAACTAATGTATGTTATTGCAACATGAATAAAGGCAGAGAATATCATCTTATGTGAGTTATCTCAGAAAAAGATTTTAAAAATAGATTAAAAATTACTAGACACGGATTAAAAGCAGCAAGGCAAGGAAGGTGCATTAAATTTCAAACTGTATTTATTGGTTATGATTTTCACTCTATAGAAATGGGTCAGCCGGGCTCAGTGACTCAGCCTGTAATCCCGCGCCTTTGGGAGGCTGAGGTGAGTGGATTGCTTGAGCCCTCAGGTTCGAGAACCACCTGGGCAGCGAGACCTCATCTCTACAATAAGTCAAAAAATCAGCCGGGCGTGGTAGCTCATGCCTCTAATTCCGGCTACTCAGAAGGCTGAGGTGGGAGGATCACCGGAGTCCAGCAGGTCGAGGCTGCGGTGGCCAGGAGCGGCCACTGAGCTCCAGTCTGGGCGACAGAGTGAGACTCCAACTCAAAAAAAAAAAAAAAAAAAGAAATGGGTCAACTGAAGCTGAATACTCACCAGTATATAATATGTTCATGGAACAAACAATAATATGTTCATGGAACAAACATGCAATTGTACCCCCTTAATCTAAAATAATTTTTTAAAAAATGTTTAAAATGGAAAATACACACATTCACACACACATATATATGAAACCACAATCAAAATGTGAAATGCAGTGAGAAAAAATGCATATCTCCAAGTTATGTTTCTTTGTGTTTGTATCTTCATCAATTTATCTCACCTCTCTGATATATTACTCTAAGCAATAAGGAGGAACTAAAATACCCCTTCAACATTTCACTTAGAAATTCCCTCAAATATTGTGCAGTCATAAAAAGGACAAACATATGGACTTTGCAGCAACTTGGATGGATTTATAGTCGATCATACTAAGTTAACTATCACAGAAACAAAGAAGAGTGTTCTATATGTTCTCACTCCTAAGGAGACCTTGAACAATTATAATACTATAGGAGGGGCATGCCTCATTAACTATGGTATCTGCATAATCAACATTTGTATACCTAATCATGAATTGTATCCCACATCTTTATAATAAAAACAAAATTGAAAAGAAATCCCCTCAGCTAAATATTCAATTTTAGTACTCTCATGTTCTACATTAAACAATGCAATAAAAATCAAATGCAATTCAGTCATGTTATTTACCAGTTTATTACAAGGAAATTCTTACTTAGAGTTCCCAACTTCATTGTCCTAATTTCCACCTGAAACCACAGAAGAGGTATCTTTAATGAGTTCATATTTCTATACACATTCTGATCACAATTATGTGTATATTCACTAAGAAACAGTAACTTAGATCTTACTCTCCTTTTCTCCTCCATTCTTTTTGACCCCTAAACAGATTCACCATTCATATGTATATTTCTCCTGTTTCTTTAAGGAATTATAGGCTTTTGATATTCAACTCAAAAATATTTGAGCCTTCACCCATCACTCAGTTCCAAAGCAACACACACTATAGGTATGTACTATAGAAGTTCCTCATTTCTATTCAGAATCGATCTCAGTCGACACATGCTGCCATTATAAAATGTCATGGACAGGGCAGGTTGAACATCAGAAATACATTTATTTAAACTTCTGAGAGCTTGGAAATACAAGATCAAAATGCAACATGATCCATTTTGCTGTGAAGAATCAGTTTCTAGCTTGCAGATGGAAGCCTGCCAACATGTGATGGAGATAGAAGCAGAAAACCAATACTGACAGAAAATAATCACCCTCCTCCACTTATCATCTCACTTAACCATAATAACATACTAAATCTCTTTCTTCAGATACAATCAAATTGCAGTCAGACATCAACATACACTTTTTTCAGGGACACATTTCTACCCATAATAACATTCTGTGAAGTACATTAGACAGGCAACACAAAAGAGGACACACTCCTGAGCAGAGAACTCACAGATAGACCACTACCCCTCACAGCTGCTGATGTACTCAAGTCTCACCACAGCATAGAAAACTAAGAAAATTTTCATCTCTTCTTCCCGCTCTGTACCTCCACTTTCTCACTGAATTGTCTTGTGATTAAGAAACTAGCATCCCAGTTTCTTGTGCGAGTCCCAGCTGCCTCCACTGGATTCAGCCCAGTGGCAGGAATTCCTTCAGAGTCATGAATTACTGTGTTTTAATGAGCCTCTCCCCACATATTGATCTTTCTAAATTTCCAGCTTCTTGGGAAGAGGTTTCTGATCACTGAGACATTCTCATTAATGTTCTTGTGTGTTGCTCTATGAGTCATACCATGTTCTGCGATGTCTGTACAGGTGCCACTTATGCATGGTGATATTAGATTCCTGGTTATAGCAACAGGTCAACGGTAACCTCTGAGGGCATTTCTGGTTTCTGCTGCATTATATTAAGAGATACAAAATCGTCACCCCGTCACCAAAAAAAAAAAAAAAGGTAAAGAAAAATGTAGGCAAACTGAGTATCAAGTAATTTTCTTGGACCTGTCAGATAACTCATATTACAGGAACAACTCTGAACCCAAAAGCTAGAGACAGAAACATACAAAATCACACACGTGACCTGCTTAACTGAAACAGAAGCTTCAGAGACACAACTTGGAGGGTGCACTTCCATGTTAATTACAATGTATGTCCAGCGGACAGATGTGTAGTATGTGAGGTGAAAACTCTTGAGACTGCACACATCATAGTCCTTTGGACTTTTCCTCCAGAATTCTTCAAGTTCTCAAAGGGACACACCAAGAAAGTCCAAAGAAAGTCCAAATAGAGACACTCCAGAACTGAAGAAGAAAGGTTTAATCAGAAATACACATAAGCCTTTCTCCAAACACCCCTAAATCAGAGGATCAATCAGAAGCACACATAGAGTATCTACCCAGACATCTCGAAGTGAACACTTTTAAAACACCTTAACGTAGGAGGTGAAATACTTTTGTCTTGTTCCAGAACCCCTCAACTTCCTGTGGGTCCTGGGAGAAAAAGTCAATAGTGGTGAGAGATGAAAAGAAATAGAGTTGAAGCTCTTTCACACAGGAGGGCAGTAGAGGACAGGTGACAGTGGGCTCCACCTGGAGACACCCTGTGCAGGTAATTCCCAGAGACAAAGGATCATGAAATCATGGAGATGTAATTATAATATATAGCAATCCCTTCCCCAACACATTACCACCACACTAATAAATAGGAGTGTTTTAAAGCTAATGTGTGACAATTTTCTTAGTCTATCTTAGGACAAGAACTTGGCGTAGACCCAAAACAACAGGGTGGGCAAATAAATGTCACTAGAGGAGTTGAAGTCTCTGGCATCTACAGCTCCAGACTTGCTCAGCACCCGTTTCTCACTGTCCTCAGACACCGTTGCTCTTTTCTTACTGACATTTGCCAATGTTTCTATTCTGTTCATAGAATTTTGGGATTTCCATGTGGATACTTTAGTATTCAACCAGAGACACATTACCATGAAGAGATCAAGGATTTGCCAGAGCGATCTGGCTTAGGTGACTGCAGGTGTATCTAAGAAGGGCCTCTGTTCCTGTATCATATGCCCTGAGATCCACTGGGTAGGAAACCAGAAAGGGAACAGGTTTAGCAGGTTGGAGACACAGATGGATAAGCCTTTCTGCTTTCATGATGAAAAGGGGCCTCTGGAAGTCTGGAATCCCACTAGTTAATTAACCACACTCACCAACCAGCTGATGCCCCCAATGAGGTGACATCATTGCAGAGCAACATAACCTTAGCAGACAAAATGGACTGCCTCTGACACCAGTCTTAAAACCTCTTCTCTCCTTCAGGTATGTGAACTCCAGGTTCCTTTGAGTATTCAAGGTGTTCTCCCAACAGATATCTGGCCTCAGTCACGGGCTCCAGTCATAGTGCTCGTTCCAGTGTCATGAGCAGCAGTCACAAGAAGCAACGCAGTGTTCCCACACTTTCCAGGTAGCCTTTATTGTCAGAGGTAAGTCTCAGAGCTGAGGCTTTGTTGAGGGTATGACACAGGCAACACTGTGAGGAAGCACTGGGATATTGCATTGCAGACTCTGCTTTAGGATGCGGGGTCCATGACCCTGTTGCAATAACCAGAGACCTTCCAACATACGTGTAGCTCCTGCCCACCACAGGAGTGCATGTAAGGCCCTCATCACAAGAAGTTTCTGGTTGAGCTCTGGAGTTATTGCATTCAATCCAGGAAGAGAGTGTGTCTCCTAAATAGGAGCTGTTTAAGTGTGCTCTCCTGTTCCTGGGGCTTGAGAACTAAAAGGAGATTCAGTCTCCCTCTGTGAACCAAGATGGAATTTCCATGCAAGATGAGGACTGGACTACACTGTGTGCTCAGGACCCACCCAGACAGGAATCAGACCCAGAAGAAGGTGATCAGAAGACTGGGGAGAGCTTTTCTCTAGGAAACTGGATCTTCCTCTTTCAAAAATGTCTATAATAATAAGAAACTGAGGAGGACTACTGAATTTTGCACAAATATCCCATTCTATTGAGTGCATTTATCAAATACAATATTGCAATGTGAACAATGTAGGAGGGAGCTTTTCAACCCTGCCAGATATCTTGATATTAAGTAATTGTAGGGAGGGTGGATTTCTACATTTAGATGCACACACATACATATATATGTTCACACATACAAATAAACGAATGAAAATTGGGTGAAGAACACTGATCACAAGAATATGACATTCAGATAAGAAAGTCTATATTGCCTGGGTTGCCTTGGAGTCATTTTAATGAGGATTCAAAGGGAGGAATGTGTCCTGTGAAGGCTTGATCTTCTGTTGGAGGAGTTCAATAAACATAGGGTTCAGGATGTACAGGACACCATCTTCAAACAGGATTAGGATTTGACCTTAGCATCCCAGTGTCACATAATCCATGTGTCATCTATCTTCTCTTTCTCATGCAAAAATAGGTCCTGGTCATAAAATATTCTACCTTATAAATATACAAATGACCAGAGGGCTACTCAGGTAAATACAGATATGTTTGTGCATTGAGAGCATCACCTAACAGTCGCTTTCCATCTCTAGAGAATTCTTTGAGAAGACAGCTCCTCAGCATGGACTGGAGCTGGATGTTCTTTTTCATGGTGGCAGCAGCTACAGGGAAGTAGTGCCACAGTGCCAGGGCTAAATAGGGCACCAGGGCAGGTCAAGTGGATTTCACCCGCTCCTTTCTCATCTCTACAGGTGCCCACTGCCAGGACTAGGTGATGCAGTCTGGGGCTGAAGGGAGGAAGCTTGGGGACTCAGTGAAGGCCTCCAGAGAGGCTTCTGGATGCAGTTTCACCAACTCTTTTTTGTACTATGTGCGACAGGCCACTGGACAAGAGTTGCAGTGGATGGGACTTGTCTACTCTGGTACTGATGACAGAAGCTATGCACAGAAGTTCTAAGATAGATACTCCATGACCAATGGCATGTCCATGAGCACAGTCTATGTGTAGCTGAGCAAGTTGAGACCTGAGGACATGACTGTGTATTACTGTGCAAGAGACACAGTGTGAAAACAAATTCTGAGAGTGTCAGATACCCTGAGGGAGAAAACAACTGTGCTAAAGCTAAACCAGGGACAGAGACAATGTGGATACCCTGTTTTATGAGTGAAGAGTATAATTTTAGAAGCAAAACATGAATGACACTTCTTTGGTGATTGTAAGACCCGTTCACTGAAGTTTTGTCAAACAAGATATTTGGATTTCTCCCACTTTCTTAAGGTATCCAATTCCAAGCAAAGTCTATGTGATAGAACTTTAGCTCTCTACTTGACTAGATTAAGGAATTCCTACAAAGGTGCTAATACATGATTCCTGCATTTGTCTGTGCCAGTGTTTGCTGAGGAGATTGTCCACTCAGTCATTGGATCCAAGGGTCTGGTTTGGCATAACTTCAGTGAAGTTGTTTTATATTCACCAAAGCAAATTACTTCATTTCTTACTTCTACTGGGCACAGCCTATTAAGCTGAGTGCCATATAGAAGACGAAGGCAGAGGAAAGTCAAGTGCTGTATCGTTTATGGAGCTGAGGACACCCATCTCATGTTCATGAATACAAGTACTCCAGTTTATATGATCTTTGGACTCTAGTATTAGACCATTATTGCCCCGGCTTTTCAAACCCTTGACTTCAGACAGAGATACAGCATGGGCTCCTCTGTGTCTCAGACCTTCAGAGTGTTACTTGCTTGGGAAGGAGCCACAAAAGATCCCAAATAGAGTTGACCTCTGGTCACCAGGCATTATCTTCTACCGTGTCTCTATGGAAGGAAGCCTTTTGGCCATAATCAGTTCCAGCAAATCATTCTGCAGGAGAACACAATTCTGAAACCTACCGAGGTGTAGTTCCTGCCAAAACTTGCAGTCACGCCTGAGGAAAAGGCATTCATCAGCTGATGCCTGGCTTACTGGGAAGAGGACCCCACTGGTGTGCAGCAGCTGGCCTGCGATGCCTACCTGCTGGCACACATCTGCAAGTCGGTGTCGTTGAGCAACCCAGCCTGAGTGGCTGCAGCATCCACCTCCAGAGAACCCAACAAGAGCCCCTTGAATCGAGGGCCACTAAGCAGCAGACTGTCAGGCACACAATGGACAGAGGGCTTTCTGCTGGCACATGGCAGGGTCACGCGGCTTCTGAACATGTACCTGGTGCTTTTTTCCCCTGCTTTCCATCTATTGAACATGGTGGCATCGACTCTCAGAGGGGGCCTCGGGCCAAATTCGGCCTCATAGGTAGTCCTGCCTGAGGCTCTGGTGGTGACAGCAACCTGAGGCTGCTCTGAGAGAGGAAAACTCAGGTAAAAACTGGTTCCATGTACTCTGATCTTGAGCCATGCAGACTCGGGGGTCCCTGATGTAGTGCTTCCGATGAAGAATGTGGACTGGAAATACAGCCTGGGCTAGTCCAGTGTCTATAATTAAACTTGTTCTTTTATTTTAATAAAGTTTAGGTGACATCTGAAAAGCTTGTAGCACACAGGCTTGGCTGGGGATATATTTGACTTTGGAGGAAAAAAGTTGCTGTTGCCCATTACATACACTAGAGTTAGTGTTTTATCCCTGGATATATTCAATATTTAAAAACATGCAGTCCCCCCATTTTTTACTTTGGAAAAACCCACGTGGTTGTAAGGTGAAACCCAGGTCAGAAGTGCATAGCAGCGTCCATTTCAGTCAGAGGCACAGGCTCCTTGACTTCCTGCAGTACCTGTGGCCACGTGAGGGTAGGTTCCACATGGACAGGACAAGCTGGAGGTGCGATGGAGGCTCTAGTTCTTAATTTTAGTCACAGTTTGAACATTTGACCGTTGTCCCTTTTAATTTAGTTAAAGTGATGTTTTTTTTAAAGAACAATTTATCTGTTCCCCCAAAAGCCTAGAAATGGTCAGGTCACTTCTGAGCCATTCCAATGAGGGCTCAAAAGTGAGGAATGTGTCATCAGGGGGCTTGTTCTTCAGTGGGAGGAGCTCAGTCCACATATAATTCAGGATGTGCAGGGAACTCTATCCTCAAACACAATTAGGACTCGGACCTCAATGTCCTTCAGTTGCATGATTCATGTGCCATTTATCTTCTCTTTCTCATGCTGGATCAGTTCTAGGACTATGAAATATCATGCTTGTGAATACTCTAATAGCTTGAGGTCTATTGAGGTACATGTAAACATTTCTGTGCCCTGAGAGCATCACATTGCTCCTCTAGAGAAGCCCCTGAGAGCACAGTTCCTCACCATGAACTGTAGATGGAGAATCCTCTTCTTGGTGACTATAGCTGCAGGTAAGAGACTCCTCAGTCCCCAAAGTTGAGGAGGGGTGAAGGACATTCAGGGAGAATTTCATCCACTCTTGTATCTTCTCCATGGTGTCCATTCCCTGGTCCACATGGTGCAGTTTGGGAATGCTGTGGGGAAGCCTGGGCCCTCAGTGAAGATCACCTGCAAGGTTTCCGTGAACACTTTCACAAGCTACTATATAAGCTGGGTGTGATAGAACCCCAGACAAGGGCTTGTTTGGATGAGAAGAGTAAAGTCATACAATGGTAGCACAAAGTATGGACAGAAGTTCCAGGGCAGAGTCATCATGATCAGTGACATGCTTGTAAGCACAGACTAAATGGAGTTGAGCAGTCTGACGCCTGAAGACACAGTGTGTGTTACTATGTAAGAGTCACAGTTTGGAAAACCCATGTGCTGAGAGAATCAGAAACCCGGAGTGTGTTGTTATCTGTGCTGATCTGAGGAAATAACAAGGACAATGTGAATACCTTTTTTGGGACTTACAATTGCACCTGCTGAAATAAGAAATGAAGGAAACTGCTTTGATGATTATAAAACACCTTCACTGAAGCTTTACCAAACCAGATCCTTGAATTTTACCCACTTTTTTTAGGTATTCAATTCCAAGCAAAGTCCCTGAGATGGAATTTTAGGTCTCTACTTGACTGGATTAAGGAATACATAGAGAGATGCTAAGGCATTTTTCCTATGTGTGTCTGTACTGGTGTTTGCAGAAGAGATTGTTCTGTCAGTCAGTGGACTCAGTGGGAAGGATCTAAAGTCGGCTTAGGGGGTCACCATCCTGACAGCTGGGGACCAGACAGAAGACAAAGGCAGAGAAAAATCAGATTCTCTCTCTCTCTCTCTCTCTCTCTCTCTCTCTCTCTCTCTCTCTCTCTCTCTCATGAGCGGGGGCACCTGACTTCTGTTCTCGGACAGCAGAACCCCTGTTCCTGTGGCCTTTGAACTCCAGGATTGCATCAGTGTTGTCCCATGTTGTTATGCTTTTCCCTTCAGTCAGAGAGACACCTAGGATATCCCCTGGATTTTAAGCCTTTTGACCAGGTCTGAGTCATGCTATTGAATTTCCTCGTCCTCCAACTTGTAGACAATCACTCCTGGGACTTCTCAGCCTCCATCATCACATTTTCTAATTCTGCTAATA